GGCAGAACGCGATCCTGGGCATGGATTTTATGGTCCCAGCCGGTGTAAGGATGGCCCTCGCCGACGGATCGATGCGGCTACCCGATGAAGTGGGGATACCGCTTAATGGTCGTAAGAGATTGTATGGCGAGAAGGTGAGATCGGTCATTCTCGAACGATCACTACGAATCCCGGTCGGTCAGTCGCAGGAAACAGATGTGCGAATAAAATTGTCGGCTAAAGAAAAGTTGTGGGTCACCAGAGGAGAACGATGGATACCGACAGTTACGGAAGGTCCCGGTCGGATCCGCTACCTGGTGATCTCGAACATTGGGGATAGGATCCTACGACTAGATCACCGTCTGGACGTCGGCATGATACACCCCGATCTCCAGGGTTCGTGTCCGCCGGGTCACGCCGCTATCGGGAATGGCAGAATCTAGCATCGGAATCGACCGTGGACGCTAGATCCGAACCTCCAGAGTCGATGGAATACCTGTCGGGGCCGATTGTGCAACGACCGTCGCACCCCACGCCACGATCGATACTCCTCCGGCCGAGGTCCGATGAGATCGACAGAGATCGAACATGGGTATCGACCCTAGAATCTCGACCGAGGGCTGGAATGGACGACGCAACGCAGATCGAGGCAGAATTCCCCGATCCAGGAAGAGGACGCCCATCTACGTCAACGACTAGCCCCGATGCCGATCGATACCTGAACGACGATGCTTGGGACGGTGGGATAAGTGAGAGCATGCCGGACCAGGCCACCGATCGGACGGACACCAAGAATATCAAGAAGGAGAATCGGACTGGCACCAAGGATATCGAGCCGAAAACGGATATTCATACTCAGATGATCCAACTCGATCAAGGCCAGATCAAACTCGATCCTGATGTAAAATCCCCGATCTATCCTACTGAGGGCGTCGAACAGCGAGATCCGCCGGCAGAAGGAGCCACAGCGACCACCCCACAGGACGCCGGGGACGAAGAGGAGATATACTACCATGGCAGCGGCGATCTCTCAGCGGAAGATTTTGAAGGAAACCTGGCCGTCATCCCCGAAATCGCGTTCTCGACGACTGCGAAGGTGAGCATTGAGGATCTGCAGGTGGGAGACACCGGAACGGCTACACCTGAGGAGATCGAGAGGCTCCGGCAAATAATCTGGAAGAAACGACATCTTCTTATCGGTAAAGGGAACGCCTTACCCCCGGCGGCCAAGGGCGTCGTATGCGATATCGATGTTGGAAATGCGAAACCGATCGCATTGCGAACCCGGAAAGTGCCCACGCGATTTCGCGAGAAGGTCGCAGGCCTGATGAAGGGCCTCCTGGCCGCCGAGGTCATCCGACCCTCGACATCGCCATGGGCCTCACCGATCGTGATTGTCCGCAAGAATAACGGCGTGGATATCAGGTTGTGCATTGACTACAAGTTGGTAAACAGCCTCACGAGATTGATTGTCTATCCTATCCCTCTGATCAGCGATCTGCTAGAAGATCTTGATAAAGCTCTATGGTACTGCTCGTTAGACATGGCCAGCGGTTTCTGGGTCGTGCCCATGACGGATCGGGCTCGCGAGATCTCAGCATTTATCACTCCGTTTGGATTGTTCGAATGGAGTCGCATGCCTTTTGGTCCGAAAAATGCCTCGCAGATTTTTCAACGTCTCGTAGACAACACGTTGTATGGATTCCTGAAGATCTCGCGATCAGGCGATGTTGGAACTACAACGGGCGTGTTCCAGACTGGGATCGCGGACGATCCTGATCGGGACTCAGTGTTGGGACGGAGATCATACATTGTATCATGATCGCAGCGGAATCGTGAGATCAAATGTGCCAAAGAGTGGAAGACCTGCTGGAAGCCTGTGATAAGTGGGATTTGTCGATCAGTGTAGCCAAGAGCTTCTGGGGCACGGATAAGGTAGGATATCTGGGACACCGAGTGTAGATCGGAGGTTTGAAGGCAAGCCCGAAAGAATTGAAATCGTTGACCGATCTGCCATTCCCCGGATCGCTGCGATCTATGCAGTCGTTCCTGGGCAGTCTGAATTATTGCAGCCGATTCATCGAAGATTACGCTATCTATGACTCGGTACTCTACAAATTACGAGAAGTTGAGTTTGCAGAATTGGAGAAACGATCGGATCTGAGGGAGATCTTGGACCGGAATGACCCGATCGTTCGAGATCGCGATCCACCGGAACTGAAGTTGACGGCACCAGTGGAAGAGAGATGGATCAGGGCACATATAACCTTCATCACCCTGAAAACGAAGATCGCGACGACCCCAGTCCTCCGCCATTTCGACGAGACGAGAACGCCGGTAGTTATCGTATATGCCAGTAATTGGGCGATATCCGCTTCGTTGACGCAAGAACAAGACGGGATCTACCATCCGGTGGGGGGTTCGCCAGCCGCACCTTGAAGACGAACGAGTTGAATTACAATTTGACTGAGAAGGAGGTGTTGGCATTGCTGAGGATCTTGGATCTCTATTATAATTTGCTAGTAGGACGCGAGATCCGGGTCCTGACGAGACATTCCACGTTGGCCTGGCTGTTCAAGTCGACGGGATTACAGAGTCGCCTGGGACAATGGTTTGCCCTCCTGGCACCATGGACACTCGAGATCACGAAGTGCACAAAGGGTGAGGATGAGATACTGGGGGGATCGCCGCTAGTATCACACCGAGGGCGAAGATTGACGACGCTCTGACTGAAATCGCTCCCCGGAAAGAACCTAACCGCCGGATCCAAGCGCCGATACCCACCGTAGATCGGGACGAGGAACTATGGGTGATCAGCTTTGATGGATCCGCTCGGGTAAAGGGTGGTGGAGGCGCGTTCAACGCGATCGTGTGGAGTCTGCCCGGATGGGAGGTTATCAAGGCCAGATCAGGTTATCTCGAGAGTCTCACCGTGAATGAAGCAGAATATAACGGCCTGATCCTGGGGTTAGACATGCTCGAGGACCTAGATCGCAGACGCCTGGTGGTTTGTGGTGACTCCAACTTAGTGATCCGACAAGTACGGGGTGAGGTCGATTGCAAAGCACCCAGACTGACGCTATTGAAGCGGAAAGCCCTCGATCGCCTGAGGAAATGGAGGGATCATGAGCTGGTACACGTCAAGAGGGACTGGAACGGAAGTGCCGACAGTCTAGCAAGCCCCGCTTTGCAACGACAAAAGGGGATCGAGGTCCAGGAGGGCCCCGGGTACCAGGACCTGGTCACCTTGAACTGGTTAGACGAAATATTGATCCCCAAGATCGAGAATCAAGTAGTGCGAGTTGCTGCGGTCACCACTCGAGCTGGTCGAGCCAGATCACCGGCGGGTGTCATGGAAGAGGGTTTGATCCGCGAAATCCGAATCGATCGGATCAAGCGGGCCCAAGAGGAAGAAGTCTGGATCGCCGGCATGAAGAAGTATCTGAGTGGCTCGATCGCAGATCTCCCCCAAGCGGAAGCTAGATCGTATAGCAAGATCGCGACTGACTACGAGGTGGACGAGCACGATCTACTCTTCTACTGCCCCCCCCGCGCCGAGATCTGGAGACGATCGAGACCGATTGATGAGATTGGTAGTCCCCGAAACGCTACAATCGGACGTTTTACACCACTATCACACCACGGTGGAAGGAGGACATCAGGGAGTGGGGCGAACCTACCAGCGGATCAGGGATCACTTCCATTGGAGGGGATTATACCGGAGCGTTCAGCGATATGTGGGGGAATGTGTGGATTGCGAGACAGGAAAAGGAAGACCAGTGATCCGGGGTGAATCACCGGGGAACTTGCAGGCGACGTACCCGTTCCAGATTATTGCGATGGATCACATACCGTCGCTACCCAGATCACACAAGGGGTCACTGAATTATTGATCTGGGTCGATATGTTCACAGGATATGTGATCGCGAAAGCCAGCTCGTCCCGATCGGCC